ACGATGTGGAAACCAAAAGAATGATGGGGCTACAGAACAGAAGCTTGTGAGTTATGATGATGAGGTAAGAGGTTTGTACAGTAGTTTGAGCATTCTAGGATCCTCCAGGTTATCATTATTATCAGCATCATTATCATTATTACATCATTATAATAATAAACATTATCATTATTATTATTATTATTATACAAACAGTACCAACGTAGTGCTGTCAGTGTACTTGCTTCCTTCCTAACATTATTGGAGTTTACAAAACATTCCTGAAAGCCAGTTGCTGAGGTCGCTGGGACGCCGTACAAGCTCCAAGGAGTCGTTGGTTTATCAGAGTATTGAGCTACTATATGAGATATTTCTAACTTGATACTCAACACTATGTATATCTAAGATGACATCCTAAACTCTGTCTTCTACCAACACCTCCTTTAGAGCCTCTGGACGACCTGAATCACATTTCGTAGAGGAAAATAAAAAACTTCCATCAGAACCGCCAGAAAAACATGTCATTAGCGTTTGTCTCCCTGCATTTTGAGGACAAGATATCTGCATCACAGCACGACCACCAGACAATCTGGTGGATGGGGGGTTAGGAGGGGCACAGGACCAAGGTGCTTACCACCTTCTTCTCAAGAGTGGCTTAATGTCTGAAGTTTTGCGGAGTTCATACTTGTAAACAAAACCTCTTTTTTTTTCTGAATTTTCTCTGTAGACTTGCTGTCTGACAGAGGACATGACCGCCATATAAGATGTACATATCACTTAGATGGCTTATTTTATGAACCTCCATATCAATGACTTTGTATTAAAATTGTGGTCAGTGGCTGTGTTTACAAGCTACTACTGATATAAAACTGAGGTAGAGCGTTGACTGATAAACCTGATGAACATACCTGCACATACAGCGTAACAGTGAACTGTGTAATGTGGGCACAGTGATCAAGTCTCCAGGTGTAGGGACAAAAACCTAGGACCCGTACAGTGCTTCATTAAGTAAAACCCTACACCTGCTCTTGCTAAGAAAGACACCCCTTTCCACGGTCAAGTACTCCTTAAGTATTCTATTACATTTAATTATATTTGAAAAACTACCTTTTTAAATATTGATTCATGTGTGAAGTGAGACTGCTAATGTGGAATTTCCTGTAACACAAGAACCTGATGAAGTTCTCTGTAATTAGTAAATTACTGGACTATGTCATTTTGAATGGTGAGCATATAGAGCCTAAGCTAGCCATGATATTGAGCATTACTATCCCAAATAGCCACTCCCACTCCCGCTGCTGCTACTTGTTGTGAAGTTCCCTAGACTCCCACTTGCCCCTGAAAATGTAACAACAGCAGCAGCATCAGGAGCGTTAGTTGACACAGTTGGGTTTGCAGATTTGACCCCTGGGTGGTAGGAATTAATGTGTGTCCATAAGGAGTACTTGTTGCGGAAGACCTTGCGACAGTAAAGACAGAGTGCCTCTTCCTGGGCCGAGTGTCTGATCTTGAGGTGCTTCTTGAGGTTGGCACGGTTGCTGATCAACTTGTGGCACACTGGGCACGGACGAGCCTCGTACGGGTTATCCTCTGTGGAAAGACACGTAGACTTTAGAGAGAGAAATGCTATAGTAATGCCAAACAAAAATATGTAAAAATCTTAATAACAAACATCTGTAAAGATAGAAAAATAATTAGATACAGATACAGATTTACCCATATATAGAAGTACAGTTACAAAAACAGCTAGAATAGACACAAACACAGACTTAGACAGAGGGGGTGTGTGTGTGTGTGTGTGTGTGTGTGTGTGTGTGTGTGTGTGTGTGTGTGTGTGTGTGTGTGTGTGTGTGTGTGTGTGTGTGTGCGCGTGTGTGCGTGTGTGCGTGTCTGCGTGTGTGTGTGTACCAAAATTCTTGTTCCACTTGGAGCTGAAAGCTATGACATTTCTTAATAAAACTTAAAACAATACAACACATATCAACCCTTTGTATGCAGGACATGTACTCTCCACTGTACTTCTTGCAATTTTTTTTTTGCACACAGATGACTCCACTGGTGCTTACCCACAAGAGGTCAATTAGTTGGCCCTACATGACCTCACCTGATTTCCCCATTCTGTGAATCTTCAAGAATATGTTGTTGTTTTTATGGTATTTACATCAACACTTATTTTCATTACTATTGACATTATGATTACTCTAATGTCACCAATAGCAAATAAAAATAAATAAAAACAATTTCAAGACATCACAGAAATGGGTAAACATGTGAGATAGGTATGATTAGTAACTGGTGACTAAGCACTTGTGGATCCATCTATATAAAAATACAATTAGTAATAAACTAAATTCACAATGGACATGACATGTATTTCAAGCCATCCCATAATGTATGCATCTGTGCTAGACTTGGCATGCAAGTTGTTTGACAGAGAAACTACCTTCAATGTCAATGCAAAGATTGGATTTTCCTTGAATCAAATTCTTCATTTGCAATACAACCTTTGTATCATTCCCATAAAAACGTGTTTTGGTGATATATACACTGGAAAGTTGCTTGGGCTGTGACCAGCCATGCAGAAAGAGGAGTGGCTAGTGCACTCATAAACCAAAATTAATCACTATATTTAGTTGGGAATAAATAAATATAGGTAAATATATACATTTAGACAAATAGATATATGGATAGATAGAGAGAGATAAAGATTACCTAATGAATCATCCAGCTTCCTATTCTTGGCCATCATAAATAAATAAATGAATATAAAAATATGAAAATATAAATATATATAAAAAATGTGTGTATATATATATATATATATAAATATATATATATATATATATATATATATATATATATATATATATATATAAATGTAAATATAAATATATATGTATATATATATATATATATATATTTATATATATATATATATATATATATATATATTTATATATATATATATATATATATATATATATATATATATATATATATATATATATATATATAGGGTATCTAATGTACACAGTACAGCTGATGACAGTGTGTGTGTGTGTGTGTGTGTAAACATTAGCATGTGCATATAGAGATTCAAATGCTCTTAACTGGTAATAACTTATATAATAAAGAGCAGCCTCAAGACACTTCGAAATGCTGTAAAACAGCCTTGGAAATGTACTTCTAACCTATTTTTGTTTTTGTTACTGTCATATTTCACTGATACTTACTGTGCCTATATTAATAAACAAACATGAATTATCCCATTCAGATGGGATTAGAGATCATATGGTCTGCATAAGTAGAAGGGAAAAGAAAAGTCTCATAAAACAAGAGGACTTGAACTCCTGCTCCCTAATGTGTTTTTGGCCTTCCTCAGCCATGGGCACAAAACCAATCATTCTCCTCTTCTTCTTCTAGCCTGTGACATATAAGTTAAAACCAAATATTATTTCATTGTCTTGCTAAATCACATGCACTTACAAACACCAAAGTCACAAGCTTAAATACACCGTCACTCCATGGACTTTGCCTGCTTTCACCAAATACCAAGAGACAAGATGGCTCTCATAAAAGGGTTCTTTGAGGCAGAGGAGCTGGAAGAGATATAAGAGCACTGTACTAACAGCCTCAACTAATAAAAGAATCGACCACAGGCTGTTGCTTCTGCATCTTCTCTGTTCCTGTAAATGCCCTATATCTCGATCTACAGAAATGTGTGCCAAACCTAGTGAATTAATGTAGGCCTTGTTATATGCTGTTTTTCCCAGAAACTTTCTGCATGACAAGACAAAGCTGTGCTTTTGTCAACATAATAAAGCAGACAATTATGTCTTTTGTGGAAATCAGCACTCTTAACTGAGCTTGTCTGAGCATAAATGCAAAGGGGAAATAATGCAATCTGCATATCTTGAAATAACAGCAAGACTATGTGACATGATAGCATCCAGCCTGTAAGTATATCTTCTAAGTTAAATCCCTCTACTGCAATCCAAAAGGCACTATCAATCAAATAAGCACGTCTATGGCTTATACTGGCTGGATTAGTCACATGTTGTCATTTCACTAGCATCTCACCTGGCTATGCCTTGCTAGGAGAGGAGATGGTGGTTATATGGGCTCGTACGTGCTGGCATTGTAGGGCCGCATTTTGCATCGCTTGACGTGATTTCGGAGATTGAAAGCCATCGATATGCGAACTCCGCAATATTGGCAATTTACAGGCTGTCGGGAGGGCCACCTTTTAGTGTCTTTCGGACTGCTGCCTGTCGACAAATTTAGTGCCATATCTGAAACAAGGCAAATAAGTATCAATCAGGAGGGATTATGAATAAGGTAATAACTATGTCTTATTCAGCAGGGATGCAAATACTCGAGCAGGGAATGGTTACAAATAGAGCAAAATGTGTAAAAATACTTAAGGGACCAAAACTTAGGGTATGATGGCTCTAATTATTTTAGGTATATGTAACATCTTGTAAAACTTCATTCCAGTATCGCTTCATTTAAAAACTAAAATCAAAAATTTTAACATTCTCTTTTACGCTAATAGTGGCCAGTCGGTCTTTTGTTCCTTGTCTTCATAATTTCAGGCAGCCTCCTACAAGACACGAATATATAATACTAATGCTTACATCTCCATGCTTTGCAGTCTATCATTAGGGTCGACATAACACGTGAACCCATATAATCACATTCTGGACATGAAATACCAGTATGGAATCTAAGTGAAAACACTAATAGCATTCACTTATGGGGGAAGTCATTCCAACTAAGTTTTCAAACTTAAAAAAAAAAGGAAAAAAAAAAGAAAAAAAAGTCGTGCAGCTCTAGATAATCTACAATGGGAAAAAATATATTTGTTGGAAATTCTTATCCGGCACTAATACGAGTGCAAAATGCCAGCTTCATCTCATATTCATGTATGAGCATGAATAATGAACAGAGAGAAAAAAAAAAAACATTAATAATAATACCCATAGAAAAACATCAGACAACATATCCATCAGTCCTTAAGGTCTGATCGGATTTCTAAAATGTCTGATCTTTCAATACGAGCACAGATTCCAATTTATACATGACTATAGAAAGAGGAGAAGAAGGAAAAGAATCAATAAAAAAAGGACATCAACAAACTGGCTTACCTGTAGTTAAATATAAGCAGCTTTAGAGCCACTTCCTTCTCAGTGTTTGACTCGGTTAACACCAAGAGCCTTACCTTTCAAACTGGCGATATGCACTATGACTCCATGCTTAACTCTTACTATTCATCGTCATTCAATCAATTTAAAAATAGTTTAACTGGAGTTGCTACTAAATATGTATTGTTATATAAGAGATTATGTCATGTTTTATGTTAAAGTAATTAAAATCATACTGAAGACTGAAGGCTTCTCACACATTCAAAATATTCCTGACCTTCATATTTTCAGTATCAGCTCAGAAAGACACATTCAGTATATTGCTTATTCAGAAAGACACATTCAGTATATCACTTAATCAGAAAGATATAGTTTGTATATCGCTTATTTAGAAAGACACATTTAGTATATCATATATTCAGAAAGACACATTTAGTATATCACTCATTCAGAAACATTTAGTACATCCTTTATTCAGAAAGACATTTAGTATACTGCTTATTCATAAAGACACCTTTAGTATATTGCTTATTCAATATTTGCATATCTTTGCTATCAACAAAATCATACCCATTTGTATAAGAAACTATATGTACTTAAGATCAAGTGAATATACACTATTTAAAATACACTACTGTTTTCATACAAAATCAATATCAATCCTCAATATTCCTACTGAATATATTTTCAAATCCCAAATATACACAGCAGACTAATCAATATATCAGACAAAAAAGCATAAATAGACTTTCCTTTAATAATGATATACATTCAATTTCCTTAAAACACAAACAAACAATCACACAAAAAAAGTGTGTGCATGTGTGTGTGTGTGTGCATGCATAGGTGCATGTGTGTGCGTGTGTGTGTGCATGTGTGTGTGCGTGTGCATGTGTGTGTGCGTGTGCGTGTGCGTGTGCGTGTGCGTGTGCGTGTGCGTGGTGTGTCTGTGCGTGTGTGTAATAAACCATATGAGTTTTGCCATATTAAAATGAAAACTGAAACAAGTAAGTTTATCAGGATAATAGATCTGTCACTCCAAAGGATACTTTTTCACAGAAAATAATAGTTAATATACCATTTCTATCTTTCAATGCCATTGAGAAATGTAGGAAAGAAAAGTCCAATAAAAATCATTAAAATATGTCTCCTGTTAAGACCAAAAGTCACATTACACTTACAAAAACAAAATGATTTCATCAAGTATTAATAGAATAAAGTTGATGATATGTGCACTTGTAGTTCAAAAATCTTCTGTGACATTGAGTGTTAGTCAAATCACATAATCATCTAAACAATATGAAAAAAAACAACTTCCTAATTAAGTTAATGCACATCTCAAATTATGTTATAGGCTATGAATAAAAATAATAATCACTGGATAAAATTACCTGATCCGATACACGAGATTAATCAAAGCAACATTTTCCAAATCCATTTTCCAAAGCACAAGAAACAGACAGGTAGGTGAGCTGCAGTACATGATATGTGAATCACAGAAATACGAAATCACATGAATACGAAATATCAATTGAGGTGTTCTCGTAATTCCATTACTTTATGACGTAACTCAGAAATAAACTCAAGGAATATTAGTTAGGTGAAGGGAAAGTATGTTTGCTTATAATAAGCATTTACTGATTTGTTCAATTGTACTAACTGGTTGTTATTTTTTTATTACAGTTTACTAGTTTGTAATAATCAATATATTTTTCATTCATGAATGAAGTACAGTTGCCAGATTTTACTATACACTCTTCTGAATCTTTAACCTCCATGCAAGCTAGATCAACACTCTTTTGGTCACCTATACAAATGTATGTGTATCCATGAATATGTCTCTATACATAGATACAGACACAAACAAGTCTTAAAGGTACACAGGCATAAACATGCACCAACAAACTCCTACATAAGTCACACATAAAATCACACACACACACACACACATACAAACACACACACACACACACACACACACACACACACACACACACACACACACACACACACACACACACACACACACACACTGGAACATTTATGTACTCACACAATCTTGCATTCACATATTCATGCACTTAAACACATACTCACAAATGCGTATTCATACATAGGCACGCGGGAACAAAAACATTCATGGACCAAGAGAAAGCCTTTGAAAGAATATTCTTTTCCCCTCCAAATTAGATATTCATATCCATCATAAATGAAAAAAACTGGTAGACATGATATAAAAAAATATATATATATTTTTCTGTAGTTTTTCATCTATTCACAAGTCCCTGTATGCCTACTATAACTTGTTCGAATATATATTGTCTTCTTTCCTTTCCTACGTTATTAATACTGAAAATACAGAAATATATCAATGTCTATCTATACAAGGGACAGCAACTACCCTAAGATAATATTTTTTTTAAAATACCTATTTATCATCTTCTCTCCCTCAATGATGGCAGGTTATGCATACTTCATATTCCTAAATTCTTTAAATATTCAAATTTAGATATTTCAAACCTAGAATTATAATGGACACAAACATCCTATTTTCTTTTGTATTTTTAACTGATTCTCGAAACCCATTTCTTTAAAATCAAACTGCAAAAGAAAAGAAATCAAATCATAAAAACAAAATCATGAAATTTCAGTTTTATTATCAAACTGTATTAATAGCAAACAGCATACAGATTATCTGAACAAAGCAATTGAAAATATGCAACAGTATAGAAAGAAAGAAAAAAAATCAAGTAACAAAAGTAAAAAGTATCTTTTGTTCCATTCATGAAAAAAAAAATCATATTTACAAGAATGTACTAAGCAAATAAACATTTTCAGAAAGGGAATCAGTGCTATAACAAATAAGCTTATATTAATGGACAAACTGATACAAATAAAGTTTTTCATTTAACAGCCTGTTTCATAACTCCAGATTTTAATTTACTTTTTTTTCCAGTATCTAAATTCCTTGACACAACAATTTTCTCTTTTAAGCAAATATTAACAAACTGAAATTTCTCACTCATTGCTGGAGTATGAGACATGCACTACTGTAACATACTTGCACAAAAAGCATAGCACAAGCATACTTACAAAAACATTTGTCATTTAGGATTAACAGAATTAAATATCTACCACTGAACATTATAATATTGCATTTTATGACATCAGTCAGTTATCAACAATAACAACAAACATAATTTTGTATAAATAAAAACCTTACAAAGTTTGCAAAAGTTTTCATATGTACAAGAGGACAAAATTGAGAATTATATTATTTCTATATAAGAATACCACTTTTATAATTTAATTAATAAATTATTCTTATCACAGATATACAAGATTTTAAAGGAGCAGGAGAGTTTTAGAGGAATGTTTAAAGCAGTTGTCTGTAATTTAAAAAAAAACTACTTACAACTAATGTAACAACAATACAAAAGCTTGTACTAAAAAATGTGTTTCTAATATCTTTATCATTATATTACTCTACCAATTATCAGACAACAGCTGTAATAAAACTTTTCTATAACTCTTTGTGCTAGTTCATTTCAACCAGTGAAATGGCATGTTACCAATATAGGTAAAATTGTAAAACAAAAAAGAAAACAATAATAAAAATAAATAAATAAAACAATCAAACTTAAAATTAAGAAATTAATAACCCACTTTCCCATAAATAATGTATGACATTAGCATCCTTCACAGCCAATAGTGAACAGACACTAGCCTAAGACCTATATTTGAGTGACAGTATTTTACAATTTGAATTTAAACAATATTAGATTCGAATAATATTCAAGAAACAGTCAGTACTATCACTTATATATACATATCACCATATAAACCACAGAGATAATATAAAATAAAATTTAAAAAAAAATAAAAAGAAAAGAGATAAAAAGATATATTACCTCTCAATATATCTATAACTTTTAACACACCATTAAGGCACTGGAGTGACACAGATCACAATAAAATATGTAATTGGAAGATTTAATTCCCCTGGAAACAATTTACAATGCACTATACCCTACCCTAAAAGCTATCATCCTTTTCCACAAGACCGTAGAAATAAGACACTGAATAAAGATGATGGCTAATAAATACTGAACACAGTGCTTGTGTTTAAACATGTGGCCTCTCAACGCCACTACACT